AAAAAAAAAAAGATATTAGGAACAGATCTCAAGACAACTAGTTGTGTACCCGGTGAAGACTGGCACTGAAAAAAGAAAAAGCTTTTTAGCAAGATTAAGTTTTCCTAGAGAGAGCCCTCTTTTATCTGACAGAGAACAGAATTCCCCTACCCTGTATCAACTACCCTCTCTGGAAGTAGGTAAGTATAATGGTTTCTTTTGGAAGAAAGTGAATAAGCCTGGGGGAAAGTGGGCTAAATTCTGAAAAAAGAATTCATGTCTATTCACAGAGATATGTATGACTAAGTTAATTAATGAATGAAACTTTGAGACTCATGTTGCAAACAAATGAACTACTGTAAACAATAGGAAAGTGTATGCTACATGAAGATGAGGGATTGTACAAGAGAGTTGCCAGACTTGCTTGGCACTTGAGTCTGTTAGTATGCTCCACTGCTGGGTGTCTGGGCTCATTCAGTAGCATACAGAAGCTGACCCAGCACCAGTACTTTCCAGGGAATGCTTAAGATTTCATTGTGGAGGGCAATAAGAAAGTAGGAATCACATGGCAGAAATGTACTTTTCAGGCAGTTCTGTTTCAAATATTTTTAAAGTCAACGTGGGGAAAGTCAATCCTTGTAATTTACATATCCCTAAGGATCATCAAACACAAGCCTCCAAAAAGGGCAGTCAAAAGTCCTTGTTTTAAAGATTGCTCCACTGGATTTAATAAGTGACATGAAACTAGGAACATGTAAGTCATGTTCATAAGGCTTCAGAACATATTTCTCTAGAGGAATGCGAGAAATTATAAGGGTGTAGATTAAGACAAGGATTAGGCTTGTGGGACATCTAATCACTGGTGATCTGGTTTTGAGTCCACAACAAGATATTCCAGGGATATTTTAAAATACTTCTCAGAAGGTATAAATTGAGCAAAGGCAAGAATCAGTTTCAAATTCCTTATTTTTGGTGCTGACCTTCAGATCATGGTTTTAAACATTATCTTTTTAGGTTTAGTCTACCCAAACCTTAAGGCTTACCTTAAGGCTTTTATTTCTTTGGTTTTATGCTTACTTAGGTTTTATTTCTTAAAATACTGTGAATAAGGGCACTTGGGTGACTCAGCTGGTTAAGCATCCAACTTTTGGTTTCAGCTCAGGTCCTGGTCTCACGGTTTCATGGGATGGAGCCCCACGTCGGGCCCTACGCCAATGGTGCAGAGTCTGCTTCGGATTCTCTTTCTCCCTCTTTCTCTTCCCGTCCCCCACTGGCACGGTCTCTCTCTCTCTCCCTCTCAGAATAAATAAATAAACTTAAAAAAAAAAAAAAAGTACAGTATGGTGAATATCCTAACAGGTGAAAGTAAATCCAGGATCATTACCAAAACATTTTTTTTCCCTTGTGCGCTGCTTTTATATTGAAGTCAATCAGAAAGAAAAGAGAGAACAGCAATGTCACTGGCTATATAGATCAGTATTTTTGTAACACCTTCCAAAACATACAAATCTCCATTTGAAAAATAAATCTCTTGTCTTGCAACTTACAGAATCTGGAAACCATCCCTCAACCTTAGGTGAGCTTACAGGAACGTAAAGTAAACTACTGGAAGCCAGATAAGTAAGTTCAGTTGCTGTTACGGCTGTGGCCACTATACTACAGAGGATGTAGGATGCTATGAGAGGCTCTATAATAAAGGAGTTTATATATTTTTTTTATTTTTATTTTTTTAAATTTATTATTTCTAGGAGAGAGAGAGAGACAGCGTGAGCAGGGGAGGGTCAGAGAGAGAGGGAGTCACAGACTGAAACAGGCTCCAGGCCCCGAGCTGGCAGTCAGCACAGAGCCCGACGCGGGGCTCGAACCCACGAACATGAGATCATGACCTAAGCGAAAGTCAGACGCCCAACCGACTAAGCCACCCAGGCACCCCAAAGGAGTTTATATTTTACCATTAATGTCAGAGACAGAAGATCTTGGATGACAGCAAAGTGAGGATCTAGAATTAAGATTCTCACAAAAAGCCCTGACATGCCTAACAGAGTGACAGCCTCAGTGAAAAGGTAGCTAAAAGTATAAAAGAGAACAAAAGACACCAGTGAATCAACACAGAGAACTGACAAGGAAGGAAATTTGGTCTCACCTACATGGAAAGGGACTGCTGTCATTCTGAAAAACAGTATCCAGGGAATGCCTTCATACTTTGCTTGGGATATGAAAGGAGATTTAGAAAATTAAACACAGATTAAGGTCCAGCTAATGCTCTCCTCAAGGCATGTGGTAAATAAAGCAAACACAAAACAGCTTTGGGAGGACTTGCCCACAATGTACATAGAGTAACGTTTAGCTGAAGATGAGTTCATAAAACAAGTGTATAAAATATATGAAGAAACAATGTACTATGAGCAAGAGCCAGAAGACACAATAAATTGAAAGATTAAAAACCTCCCTTGGCCATAGGAATCTAATAGTTTTGTTTTTTTTTTAATTTTTTAAATGTTTTATTTTTGAGAGACAGATAGAGACAGTGTGAGCAGGGGAGGGTCAGAGAGAGAGGGAGGTACAGAATCTGAAACAGGCGCCAGGCTCTGAGCTAGCTGTCAGCACAGGGCCCGACGCGGGGCTCGAACCCACGAATCGTGAGATCATGATCTGAGCTGAAGTCAGACACTCAACCGACTGAGCCACCCAGGTACCCCTCAACTAATAGTTTTATATCAAACAGGGTAATAAAAAACCCCTCACTATTATTTTCAAAAATGGAAAAGTTCATGTCAAATAATATGCATGTTACACAGCACATGCATTCTGGAAATTATATAAAAATGAATTCCTGGATGATGAGTGGGGAGTGTTTTAACACAAGTTCTGAAACTTTCTTTTCTTACCTCACAGGTAAGAAACCATTAATAAAAATCCTAAGTCTTTAAGAAATATTCAATTAATGCAGATTTCTATACATTGAATGATTGAAGTATTGTATAAACTAAGTAATCAAAAGTCTGGTCCATCTCTGAGGCTTTTCAGAGTACATTGAGCATAAACACAATTCTCATTTCACCTTGCTCTTCACCTAAGCATCCAGAATTACTCTGTTTTGCTCCAGTCAGAAATAGGATCTAGAATAGTTACAAGAAACTGTTTTCCAGCAGAGAAGGGACCATATCCCTAATGTCTGGACGTCACTGCACTAAACAAGCATTGCTATTCCAACTACTGTGTATTTTTATGTACGACAACTGTCAAAAGCAAATGAGTTTTGAAGCCAGCGTTAAAGTGTTTCATCCTCAGGCAACACAGTAAGAGCTACTCTCAAAAGGCAATAATAAGACTGATATCCACATCAAACTGTTATGATTTCCTCATCTCTTAACATAAACAAGGCACTAAATAAGTAAGTGCTAAGAAGACTGTAATTCTTAAGAACAGGACAACTTCAAGTGGATACATCTCTAAGAATGATTTAAAGTTTTAATGTCAATTTTTATGGCAATAACATTAAAAATATTTGTATAGGAATGAGAGAGCCAGGAATGTTTCTGGTAGCTTTATAGTTTTTAAAATGCTACAGTTACATGGGTTTTTCAGGTTCATTCACTTTGAATTTTGATGCGTGTCAGAAATGAAAGGATGTTACAGCACTTCTAGTCATTTTACGATATATTTACACAGTAAAAAAAAAAATCATCATACTAGAAAAAATGCCAGGACACTTTACTTCCTGACACCAACCTCTACCCTCCCCCCTTATCATGCAAAGAGAGTTCTTTCTTTTCTACCTATCCCCTGGTTTAGTGCTGAAGTATCTATTCATTTACCAAGCTGCTAGTGAGTGATTTGTATTACTAACTCCAAGGGTATTTGCATTTCAAACAAAAAAACCCATGATATGAAAATTAATTACCCTAAAATCTGTTTGTCTGTCCATGTACACCTGAGGACTGACTTGCCACCTACCTGACATACTGCTTAAAGAAAAAAAGAAAAATCAATGTCAGGAATGAGTAGAAGTATGAGTTTGGTGTGAGCTTTCTTTATTTATTTCAGGTCTCAGGTATGGTTTGTATCTCTGACTTTTACTCCCTAATGATTATTTTGTTTTTCTTTCTGTCATTTGTTTTGATTTTTTTTTTTTTTTTTAAACACTTGTCTTCAAGGAGCTTCTCCTGGGAGTTAAGCTCACACTTGGGTAAGTGAAAGGAAACAATTAAGGATGGAACAAATCATCATTCTCCAACAAATAAGTGTTCTTTGGGGGGCATTCACCTATAGCGACATGAAAACTCTTTTGTCACGAAGCCCAGGTCATCACCCCAGTAAGGAAGAACGTTCCCAGAACGGCGAGGACTCTGAACACTGATGCGAATGGAGGCCAGTCTGCTGAGCAAACAGGTGATATACAAACATTTACTCCTCGTCCCAAATGCTGCACAGTGTTTGCTGTAGTGCTGTGGTCACTCTGTTCAACTAGATGTTCTACTGTTCCAACGAACCGGATGTCTCTCATTAACGTTCATAGGGAAAATGCCTCAAGTAGTGAGATGTGTGAGAAAGCTGTATCTTAAAAGGATCAGGTTGTTGATTACGTTTCCCTACCCATTACACAGCTCAAAATAGACAATAAATACCAAGCATGCTGATGACTAAAACCTCCCAAGTGCATTTCTAGATCCACTGCTGGGGGAGCACTCATTTGTCAAACTGTGTAATTTAACCTGAGAGGTATGCCAAGAGCCAATCACACTGCTTGGGGCACCACTGTGCCAGAGGGGCTGTGCTGACTTGCTAAAAGCCAGATTATTGTGGCCTACTGACTCTAGTTGATAAGCCTCAGATAATTTTTTTATTATGATTATAAAAATCCAATGATTAATTACTAAGATCCTAGGTGATGCTACATTAAATAATTTTGAATTGGGAAGCATAAAATACTTTAATGATACAATAATGATAAAATTAGTATCATAGGAAAAAATGAAACCTTTAAAGGAAAAAATGAAGAGCATTAAACTTCCCTGCAAGGTAATCAGAGAGGGCACTTTTATTTTTCAGAACTAGTTATAAACTTTCTGATTGTTACTTTTCTAATTACAAGATTAAAGAAGAGGCGAGTTCCTTACAGATTGATCGGGCTTCAAAATTTTGAGAAGACAGGATTAGGGACTACAGAGTAGTATGCTTGTTTTAATTGGTTTCCAGTCCCAAAGCTACAAAATTAACCACTGAGGAACTGACTCATATGAACGAGGCAAAAAAAACTAAAAACAAAAAACGCATGTAAGGTGACATATACTTGGAGGCATTTTGTATATTTGAAATTTCATTTGCATTTTTGACCATGGAGTGACTCTTTTGCAGGCTGCACTAAAACATAAACACACCATTGAAGAAATAGGACTACGAATTTCAGCATTCATTTGATGTTTCTGGAAATCAAGGAAAGTAGCCAATTAAAAATAACTCAAACACAGCTTCTTTTTCATGTTCAGCAAGCATAAAATAATCAATGGCACAACAGCTTACCTGGGCTGGGGCTCTTTCTTGAACTTAGGTTCTGAGAATCCACAATCTCTTCTGTTTGCCCATCTGCTTCTACCTCTAGTTTGTTCTGAATCTCTTTTGCATCTTCACTAAGGCAAGTTCTTACACTTTCGTCCTCTTCTAAGACCCTCGGGACTGCAGTGGGAACACCGGCCATACTAACATTAGTGGCAGCAGCAGGAACAATGGCTGGTGTGGGAGGAGGAGGAGCTGGAGGAGTTGGAGGAGATGGAGAAAAGGAAGGAACTGTGGAAGGGGTAATGGGAGCTGGGACACACTCCACTTTCACTTCTTCTGGGGCATTTTCGAGAATCTCCAATTCAAGAGTCAATGGCAACACCTCTTGTTTTACTATGTCCACAATGCTCTCCGTGGCTGGTAATTTTTCACTAACTCCATTCATTTCATTAATTAGGTTAGTACTAGAAATCAGTGGAGTATCATTAGGTGCTACATTACAAGATTTCTTGCATATATCATCATCAACTACATCTGTTGGTGATGGATCTGATGTCTCTGTGCAAGACGTGGGGCTGGGTACAGGAACTGTGTCTTCTTTTGAGGAAGAGAGTTCACACCTGTCATCTACAGCAGTGGTGAATATTGGCTGGCTACTAAGAGCAGCAGAGGTGGGGGAAGCAATGGTACTTCGAGCAAGTGGAGAAACAGTGGTAGGTGATGGAGGCAGAGGAAGCTCTGGCACAGATTCTACCGCAGTAGGCTCCGACGTCTGGCCTGCTTGTTCTTTCTTCTCTCCACTAAAGACGAGCCTAAGGACTGGGGAAGGAGACTTTAACACTGGATCTGGTTTTGGCTTCTCTTCTGTAGAAGAAAAAACAAGAGTTTAAGAATCAGAGATTATACTGTATCATTTTGGGCCAGTTCTTTTCATCTCTTACCCGAAATCAAGGGCAAAAGAAGACACATCAAAATATTAGACTTATACTGCCACTCCAGAAACACTGTCATATTTTCTAGTTATACCCAGTGTTACTTGGTCATCAATATACAGTTTAGAGTAAAAGAATCAATGAGCCAAATAATTATATCAAGAACATAATGGAAAAGTTCATCAAAGCAAGCAAAGCCATTCAGGAAATGGGGATGAGGCTTTCTTTTAAAGTAGAGACCTTTATTTCTACCGTATCTTGCTCCCAATAGGAGAGTTTTTACCAAGTATACACTACAGAGGCAAAACATCTCAGATAAAATTTTTATAGACTGCTATTTTTTATTATTTCAGCATTTAGGAGAATTTTTGTAAAGAATGTGTATTACTTGTATAAAAATCTATGTTTTAGGAGAAGCTATCATGGTGTCATTTATTATCAATGCAATTATTATCTACGAAATCAAATTCCTGAATATAAAAATTCATTTAGAAATTCAGCCAATTTTCATTTTTTGAAAGAAACATATTTAACCAGAAATAACACGGAAATAAAAAAATGAATATTTCATCTTGTAAGAATTCAAGGAAAAGCCAAAGTTGATATTCAAAAAATCAAGCCCAATAAAAAAGAACATAATAAATACGTATGAAATAGTTGAGAATTTTTGAAATGTGTCTGTATATAGATGCAAGAAAGAGAGAGAGGGAAAGATAAATCGATAATCATAATAAGGATACCATAAACATGTAAAAAACTGTAATTCATGAAAATTTCCATATTCTAAACTTTCGGGTAAACTGATAGGGGATTCATCCCTGGGAGGATAAAGCCAGAGGAGATTGAGACTGTGTTCCAGCCTTGTGCTTCTGTAGCATGACAAACAGGCTCCATCAGAAAAACAGATATTTAGGAGGAGTATATTCCTCAAATGCAAACAAAAATTTTAAGTCCTACTAAAAGACCATCTAAACTGAAATGAACTTTACTTTCTCAGCCAGAAATCTTTACTCATCAGGGAAAATGAGTCCCTAGGATAAGTTACTGTACTTAAGTACGCCTGTCAAAGAAAATACACTGTTATTCACAAAAGCACGTGGTAAATGTGACCATTAGGTTTTAAGGGTAACTCATTCAATGCAACTACTTTTGCTGGCCTTAAAATTCATTTTAATTTACAGGTATAGAGATCAGTGATTTTTAAATTGAACTCTAATCATTAGGCTCTGTCAAATCTCTCAGACTAAGTTATCAGGGTAAGAGAAAAAAATATTTCCCCAAAATTTGTCTATGTATTACATACGTGTGAAACACATATAAATGAATACGCATTTATTAAAATACTGCTCATGAAAATAATTGCCAACTCACTGGAGTAACTGCTACATGGGTCGTCCAGATTAAATTATAACACTGTGAAAGCACATCAGAATAACACCCTTTATGACCACTGAATGAAACCTAGCTACAGAAAATTAAACATTCTCACATTAATAATTTAGTAAGAGTATGTCAATTCTATTATTAATTTTGAAAAACAGAATTTCTCATACTAAAAGCAAAAACAGAACTAGGACTGAAATTTCTATGTACGCTTGAGAAGTATCTAAAATGAAGAAAATTAGATGGGACAACTGGTTGGCTCAGTTGGTTAAGCATCTGACTTTGGTTGGGGTCATGAACTCACAGTTTGTGAGTCTGAGCCCTGCATCTGGCTCTTGTGCCTCAGAGCCTGGAACCTGCTTCAGATTCTGTGTTTCCCTCTCTCTCTGTCTCTCCTCCATTCACACACACTCTCTCTCTCAAAAATAAAGATTGAAAAAAAATTTTAAATAAAAAAATGAAGAAAATTAGAAACAAAAAGAACTTATTGGGAGAGTTCCGCATTCTGAAATAAAACTCCTTTAATTCACTCAAGTTTCGATACAGAAAGCTGAAAACTATATGACAGTAAATACAGAACACTGATTTTATCTCAGAACTTTTATTATTAAGAGTATGCTTTACAGAGCCATGATAGTATGAAATCTAATATACTGCATTAAAAACATTTATAGCATTTGGCTGTCTTAGGAAACTGTAGAAATTCCATATTTAAAAAAATTTTTTTAAAGAAATAATCATGCAAAAGGGAGCAAAGATAGAGGTTTGGAATATTTAAGGATATTTATATTAACACTATAACAGCAACAAAAGAGAGATAAGGAGACTAAATGTCTAACATAAGGAATTTATTAAACAAATAATAGCCTGGGCAATATAATGATCTATTATGCAATCATTTAAAATAGGCTTTTAGGAGTGCCTGGGTAGCTCAGTCGGTTAAGCACCCAACTCTTGCTTTAGGCTCAGGTCAGGATTTCACGTTCTGTGAGATCAAGCCATTTCTGGGCTCTGCACTGAGCTTGGGAGTCTCCCTCTCTCTGCCTTTCCTCTACTTGTGGGCACATGAATGTGCACTCTCTCAAATGAATAAAAATTTTAATATAAATAAATAATAAAATAGGCTTTTATGGAAGGTTGTTTATAATAAAAGATATGTTTTTTATTTATTTTTTTTTTTAATTTTTTTTTTAATGTTTTATTTATTTCTAGGAGAGAGAGAGAGACAGCGTGAGCAGGAGAGGGTCAGAGAGAGAGGGATTCACAGACTGAAACAGGCTCCAGGCTCTGAGCTGGCAGTCAGCACAGAGCCCGACGCGGGGCTCGAACCCACGAACCGCGAGATCATGACCTAAGCGAAAGTCGGACGCTTAACCGACTAAGCCACTCAGGCGCCCCAAAAGATATGTTTTTTAAAAAGCAGGGCATAAAACTGTATGTAGAACATAAACCTAATTTGGTAATTAAAAAAAATATAGGGGCACCTGGGTGGCTCAGTCGGTTAAGGTTTCGACTTCGACTCAGGTCATGATCTCACAGTTTGCAGGTTCGAGCCCTACATCGGGCTCTGTGCTGACAGTTCAGAACCTGGAGCCTGCTTCAGATTCTGTCTCCCTCACTCTGCTACTCCACCACGTGCTCTCTCTCTTTCTCCCAAATATAAATAAACATTTTCAAAATTTTTCTAAAAAAAAAATATATATATATATATATATATATATACACTACTAACATATGCATATGCACATGGGAAAAGTCTCTATGTATCCATAGTTTCTACAATGAATGCAATGGAACCAACTGTCTAGATGGGTGCTTTTTGGTTGTCATGAGCCTCACATAACTGAAAAGATGCTACTATCGTTTAATAGGCAGAGACCAGGAATGGTAAGCATCCTGCAACTTGAAGGATGTGACAATGAACAGCCCTGTCCTAAACTTCAGGAGGCCCCAATTGAACTACATTGCTGTAAGTGGTTGAATTACAATAGAATATCATTCACTGAATACCTACTCTATACTAAGTGCTTTCAAAAGGCACTAAAACAAAGACTAAGGCACAAAAAATTTTATTTGTATTACACTGTTCATATCTGAACGTACCTACTCAAACCATGTCAAAGAACAATCATTCAAGCTGTGTCCATACATCATCAACACCAACTGATGATTTTAATTCATTCAACCATCAATGGTTGTCTCTCTACAAACCAAGGTGAGTTCTTCCCTGTATCTTTCATATCTTTATAAAGCACCAAACAAATGGGAAATGTCCCAATTTGGTGTTCACGTAACCATGTCAGCTATTCATATCAAAACCTCTGAGGAAACCGAAGTCTAATAATGCTATTGAACATTTACTAAACACTCAGCAGTAGGAACTGGGTCAAATACCACATATACATAGTGTCCTTTAATTCCTATAACCACCGCTGGGGTAGAAAGTATTATGTTCCTATTTTACAGATTGGGAAATGGAATGTTCTACAGATTAAGTCATATGTCCAGAGTCATGTAACTGGAGAGTGCTGGAACTTGAAAATGATTCCAAATCCCACATTTTTCCAATTGAGGAAAAAGAAAACAGTTTATGGAAAAAAGTATCTAGGTATATCAAGCTGGTATAAGACTTTGGGGCTAACATGAGATTCTATTACCCAACGTAAACCCACAGTAATGACATTTTCATGGAGAGAAAAACCAACTGACTAAAGAATGCAGAATCTATTATTTCTGAAAGTGATCTATCAATCTTTGAAAATAAGATTTTTTTTTTGCATCCTACTTTAATTTCAAATGGAGCCTACAGTTAAGAAAATTTTAAAAATGTTAACTATAAAAAAATTCTCTGAAAATTGAGGGCCTCTTTCTAATGTTATTTGATTATATACATTTGGTTTAAAAATTACTCTGCAAACTATTCTATATATTGGCAAGCTATGGGTACAATTAGAAATGGATTATTAGAGGGGCGCCTGGATGGCTCAGCTGGTTAAGCGTCTGACTTCGAGTCAGGTCATGATCTCACGGTGCATGGGTTCGAGCCCCGTGTCTGGCTCTGTGCTGACAGCTAGCTCAGAGACTGGAGTCAGCTTCAGGTTCTGTGTCTCCCTCTCTCTGACCCTTCCCTGCTCATGCTGTCTCTGTCTCTCTCTCAGAAATAAATAAAACATTAGGGAAAAAAAATGGAATATTAGAAATAAGTGATTTTTCTGGAAAATAATTGGTAATAAGAATGTGATGGCAATAGTCCTCCAAAGAGTTATTTATAAGTACTACAAATATACTTAAAATTCAAGTTTTTCTTCCCATCAAGGTAAACTAAAACATTTTCAATCCACTCATTTATATCAAACATCAATCTGAAATGTTTACTATTCAAAGTTCCACTAAGCATAAAAAACCAGGAGGAAACCAGTAATTCTGCATTCTTCCTTATGGAAAGAAATCAAGGTATAAATATGACAAAGTGAAGGTGTTTAAAATTTAAAAATTGTAGCAGGACAGAGCTATCATCATTAAGACATCTTATGAATTCTTTATATCGTGGCCCAGCTGAAGTTTTCATAGAGGACAGGTATGCTTTGAGACCTCTTTTGATGGTTAAGTATTCAATATGCTTAATTCTAACTAGCAAAGGGATTACAACTCTGAAAAACTAATACAGTTTTGAAGAGAATACCCTGGAAATTCTTTTCTACTCAGATAAAAACATTCTGATTCTTGGCTCAAAAATGCTCTATCACTAGAGATAGAAAGTGGTCTTCCATAATACCTACAAAGTACATTCCTGCAAGATGAATGGCTTTCATATTAAAAAGTTTAACTCTAAGCATGCATGTCTATCTCTGAACACTGCCAAAAGAAGCATCTGAGAGAGTAACTTTCAGAAGCATGCCAGGTTAGGGTTTAATACCTGTATTTTGGCTTAGAAAATTTATTAAATAAAATACAGGACATGTCTTTGGTCAAGTTTACTAGGTTTCTTAATACTTGCAGTCCAGTAAAAAAAATCAATAATATTAAATACCAGTACTTAGGTTATGTGCCAATTCCCAAGTACTTTTTAAGGCATAATTTTTTAGAAAGTATATTTAGCAACAGCCAGCTATCAAGGGAGGAATGAATAATTTAAAAAGTTAGAAATCACTTGTAATTTCCACTTATTCTTGGAATGAAGTCAGAAATATCATCAAAGCATGCTCAATATCACCTGCTTTCTCCTATGCCTAATCACACACAACTGTTTCCCAATTTTGCTTAAGGTCAACCTAAATCCAACTCACCAAGAAACAAAGACTGTGATCTCTCATTTTTTGACATGAAACTTCCCTTACAGCCTTCTATTTGTAATCCAAAAGGCAATATGTATACTTATTTCAACAAACATTTTACACTTCATATTCAAGGTAAACAGGAGTAGAGACCCTGGTTTAATTGAGATCCATAGCATAATGACTCATCAAGACCGAATACTAGTGCATGACAGAGCTAGGATAAACTCAGCACTATAGAACTGAGGCTACAGAGACAAACTTCTGAGAAATACTTCATATTTTGAAAAATAGCAAGATACAAAAGAATATGTTAAATATATAAATAAAACTGTGTTATTCTTATAAAGCAATACATACTTCGATTTATTTCCCCAACATTGTTTTCCCTTCACAAAAAAAATGAAACAAAACAAAAAAACCTAACAGATCCAGGCAACCAAGTTTTGACCTGTAAATAGTGAGACATTAATAAAATACAGGAAAAAATTCTACTAATCAACCCTACTTTACCTTCCTAATGGTAGAACACTTTGATATTCCATGTCAATGTTTTGTTTAGTATCTAAGTAAACTCAGATGTTTCACTCTTACCCTTAAATGTTGAGGGGAATGTAATTCATATAAAAAAGAGGGAAGAAAACAGTTATACACAAACCTTGCTTCTGGTCGCTAGTTGCAGTGACAGGGGTACTGGCAGCCAGATGAGCGCTCTCCACGGGCCCATAAACCAGAGGGCTGTGCTCAGGGACCTGGCTGGACAGCTGCTGGGATTTGAAGTACAAAAAAGGGTGATAATGAGCGTGCGAACATAAAAACTAGCAACATGGAACCCAAGCAAGTGGAGAAGACAGAGTGGGGCAGGAGATCACAAAATTTAAAACAAAACAAAACAAAATAAAACAAAAGGAAAGCAAGGAAAAAAATACATAGGCCAGTTTAATAATTCAAAAAGTACAGAAAACAGGAAGAAAAGTAAAGAGGCAGCAGGAAAGGGGAAGGAAAAGAGATGAGTATTACTATTAACCACAGCAAGAGAAGAAAGCACAAAAATCATTAGTATAAACTGCATTCTCCAGGGTTCCTTCTAAGAAACAATTGACTTTTTTCCACCCAATAGTAGACATCACATCTAAGAGATAATTTAATCTCCTTCCAAAGAGCAAAGGGATCCAGGCAACTTCACTTACAAACTACCTAGCAAAGTGGTTCTCGTTCACCTGACCAAAGCTGGACAAGTTATGATGTTTTAAAACTAGTCACCAATTCGAGAAAACAATACCGAAGAGTGAATTTTGTCATATAATCACACAGGTGATATGTAACTTCTAAGTATCTAAGGCATTTTCACTTTAAAATGTCTTTAGATTCTGGTGAAGGATACTCTTTTCAGAGTCAGAAATCTGGGTAAAATATCTTGTTATTCAGAACTAAAAGTAAATTTCATTTTCACCCAACCACTTCTCTGGAATCAGAAGTGGCCATCAAAATCCTAGCAGAGTAGGTTGAAAAAGTTGCAGCCATCGTTCAACTTAGAGGAAACGAGAATAACAGAAGAAAGGACAAAAACACTCATTCTACATCAGTTTCCCAGCAAGCATTTGTTCTGGATTTGAGGGTTACACAAATGCCACAAAACAAAGCAGTGTCTCTCCTCAGAGATCTAAGGTCATTTTTTTTTTTTTTTTGGTAGCTAAAATCTCCTACGCTGAATTCTATCAGAGCTACCAGAGCAGAGTCCCTACACAATTCTGATTCTCAGTGTGTGCATGTGTGTGTGTGTTTTAGACACGAGGGGAAATTAAGGTATAAATGAATATGGGGTGGGTAGGACCACATAAAACACAGAGTTAATAAAAAATATTTTCAAATTTGTAAGTCTCATTTAGAATAGGAATATAAAATAAAATAATCTGTTCAGATACATACCATTTATCATATGTCATTTAAGTAACAATGCTTTCAGAATGTACAACATGATGGGGTGCCTGGGTGGCTCGGTCGGTTAAGCATCCGACTTCAGCTCAGGTCATGATCTCACGGTTTGTGGGTTCGAGCCCCCGTGTTGGGCTCTGTGCTGACAGCTAGTTCAGAGCCTGGAGCCTGTTTCAGATTCTGTATCTCCCTCTCTCTCTCTCTCTGACCCTCCCCTGCTCATGCTGTCTCTCTCTCTCTCTCAGAAATAAACAAAACATTAAAAAAAAAAAAGAATGTACAACATGCAACTTATATTTGATTTTATCTGTGCAATACAGAATAAGAGACAGGAATGCAAAAAATACTATTACTTTATCTATTCATTAGATCATGAGAGTGCTCATCATATTCCACAATTATTTCTAAATGAACACTACTAAAATTATATTTCCGTATATAAAAAAAATGAAGACAGTTATTGTTTTCACTTCGAATCGTGGAAAAATAAGTGAAAAGTACTACCATGATTATTCTACTCTGAATCCTTAGTACTGGTGGAGAAAACATTGTTATTAAAATTCAAAAATTAGGACTTCATAGCTATAAATGAAAATACAGACTTAGTTCAATTCTAAGGCTGAAAATAGCTCTAGAACGAAGGACTCTACGTTAGTTAGCATTTTTTAAACAGGAAAGAAAGACCTGTAAATTTTACCATTTACCTAAAAGGAAGAAAATATTAACTCCAGTTACCTAGGAAATTAATAACCCAAAAAATGGGTAATTGTTAAAACTAGGTCACCAAAATGACATCTATACATAAGATGAAATATGTAAGACAGTAAAAGGCTACTGATGCCTATAAATTTGTACTGATCACAGAGTTTTTCAAGCTCAGATTAAAATATCTTTAATATATTAAAGAGACAACTGCATAGACATTTTATGATCAACAAAGTCCTAGGAAGATTTTATGTATAAGCATTTATAAGAAAGGACTGAGGTAAACCTGTTGGTTAAATCACAGTTCCAAATCTCAATATTCAGTACATGGTTCTAGAACCACAAAGTGCTAGGAAAGGACCTCTCAGTTTCATCAGCTGTAAAATGCAAAAGAACTGAATAAAGATCTTAAAGTCCTTGCACCTTTAACATTCTCTAAGGCTCTGAAAGCATCAAGAAAATGAAATTCACATCAATACAATTCAATACTCTCACCTTGTTTTAGATTAATTTTAATTAAGAATAATCTCAAAAGTTTAGCTTAACCTCTAATTTCATACTTTTTCCTAATGAAATAACTACACAAAGTCTTCACTTATAGTGTTGACTAATTAGAGTAAGGGACAGATATCCCCTTTTCCTCCCCTATTCCTCATAATGTGGGAGGTGGGGAGGCGTTGCTTAATGGCAATCTCCCAAGAGGGGTCTTGCTAAGCAAGCTTTTATTTTTTTAAAATGCTGAGGCACCTGAGTGGCTTAGTGGGTTTAGCATCTGACTTCAGCTCAGGTCATGATCTCATGGTGTGACTTAGAGCCCTGTGTCTGGCTCTGTGCTGACAGGTCAGAGCCTGTAGCCTGTTTTGGATCCTAATGGAGACAGACCTGATGAAATCAACAACCCTGCTCTATAATTCTAAACAGGATCCCCTAACTGTTCATTTTATTTATTTATTTATTTATTTATTTATTTATTTATTTATTTTTTATTTATTTATTTATTTTTCCCAGCCAAAATCATAATGGACTTTTATTTTTTATTTTTTTTTTACAAATAGTTAATTGTCAAGTTGGTTTCCATATAACACCCAGTGCTCATCCCCACAAGTGCCCTCCTCCATGCCCATCTCCCCCCCCCCCCCCCACTCATCAGTCCTCAGTTTGTTCATTTTAAGTAAGAGAACAGATTATCTGTAGCCATAAAAACTTTCAGGCATCTAGCACATTTCTTTTCTTTTTTAACTTTTTTTTTTAATATTTATTTTTGAGAGAGACAGAGGGAGAGCAGGGGAGGGGCAGAGAGAGAGGGAAACACAGAATGCAAGCAGGCTCCAGGCTCCGAGCTTTCAGCACAGAGCCTCATGCAGGGCTCAAACCATGAGTGGTGAGATCATGACCTGAGCCGAGGTCAGATGCTTAACTGACTGAGCCACCAAAGCACCCCTCTAGCACATTTCTTAATACAGAAATGTTCCTTGTGCCTATTGCTATCAACAACAGAGATACAGCTGAGAAATTGTGATACTGAGGAAAAGTAAAAGAAATATTCCTTCTTTCCCACTTTAAAACATTTTTTAGTGTTTATTTTTTTTACTTTTTAATGTTTATCTTTTTTTTTTTTAATGTTTTTTTTATTTCTGAGAGAGAGAGAGAAAGGCAGCATGAGCAGGGGAGGGTAGAGAGAGAGGGAGACACAGAATCAGAAGCAGGCTCCAGGCTCTGAGCTAGTTGTCAACACAGAGCCTGATGCGGGGCTCGAACCCACGAACTGTGTGATCATGACCTGAGCTGAAGTCGGACGCTTAGCCGACTGAGCCACCCAGGCGCCCCTAATGTTTATTTATCTTTGAGAGACAGACAGACAGAAAGTAAGCAGGGTTAGGGATAAAGAGAGAAGACACAGAATGTGAAGCAGGCTCCAGGCTCAGCTGTCAGCACAGAGCCCAACACGGAGTGTGAACCCACAGACCACGAGATCGTGACTTAATCCAAAGCCGGATGTCCAACCGACTGAGCCACCCAGGTGCTCCTAATGTTTATTTTTCAGAGAAAGAAAGCGTGAGCAAGGGTGGAGCAGAGACAGCGGGGGACAGAGGATCTGAAGCAGGTTCTGTGCGGATAGCAGAAGGTCCAAACCTGAATCCAGAGATCATGACCTGAGCAGAAGTCTGAAGCTTAATCAACTGAGCCCACCCAGGAGCCCCTCCCACATTAACATTTAAAAGCTAAAAGGGAACTCTGGGATTACTTAGTACAATCCTTCACTTTACTGATGAAAAAGCAGGGGTTAAAAGGACTTAAATTCTGACCTGAGGTCATAATTCCAAGTGACAGAGTGCTGACATGCAACAAGTGTTCTAGTACTCTATGACGTCTATCCACCACCTACGTCTGTGTACTGTGATCATCTGCATGGGCGCATACATACACACACCTGTAAGTTTTATATTTTTGAGATATAAAATCTTTAGGAGTTATTCCATAGATTCTTTTAAAACTAAGGAAGAGGACATTTCAAATTCAATGTAGGGTAAAAAAATCTAGCAGCAAAAACCTGTTTCTCCTTTCCATTCTCCTCACATAAACCTCATAGAGTTTCCCTAAATTAACTTTCTTATCTTGAATGCTTGCCAAAATGAAACTTATTTGTCCCCCTCTCCAGACACTCCAGTGTATACTCCATCTTATATTTTACTATAAATCCAGTATCTAACCTTGAAAAGTCACCTCTGACTGTTCCCTCTGACACGCAGGGGAACTACGCATCCCATTTACCTGGACAGTACTGGTTTATGCCCGTTGTCCCAGCAAAATGACCCAGAGCATCCCCATTCATTCTAAAACTACCCCAATTTAGATGACAAATTATAAGGTCATTCTTTCCATAATCCTTACTTAGTAACCAATTGCTAAATATTTCTCTAAGTTTCCTCTCCCTTCAACTAACTCATCACCTGAAGTGGTAATAGCCTTTTGTCTAATTGCCCATCTCCACATGCCAGTTTTTTGCACACACTGTCCCTCTGCCTTGAATACCCTCTCTCTTTTCATTTTGTGAACACCAATCTGGGAACTCATACTAAATGTCATCTCTGTTGTGAAGCCTTCCCAGACGCTTCCAGTCCTTCTCTTTGCCTTCCGAAATATCAAAAACTGCAATACTAGTAACATGTGGTGTGCACTGACTGCTTACTATGCCCTGAGCTTAAGCAATGTTAAATATTTTCTCTCATTTAATCTTATAGTACCTATACACGATAGGTTTTATTTTCTACATTTTTAAAGTGGAAACTAAGCCTCTGGAAAATTAAGTAATTTGGCTAAAGTTACATGATTAAGTAGTAGAACTGGGACTTGAAACCAAGTATATTTGGTTCTGAGCCAAAGCTTTTAAATCCCTCCCCTGTACTATCTCACCGGCACCACCATTAACAGGTTTCTGTGACCCAACACATTTGGGCCTGTGCTGCAATTCTGTCCCACTTGGTCACATCTGTGCACTGGTAATTCTGTACGAACTTCACAGGAGGACCAGTCATATATTAGTAAGTGTCCTCTGTCTCACTTAAAGAGATTGGGATGACCTCAAGGGATAGGGAAAGGCTGTGCTATTCATAGCACCTGCAATTGTGGCTCAAAGCAGACACATTGTAAGGTCAAAAGCAACAGACTACTCAGTCATAAATTCTCATGTAGAGGGTTGTCTCACCTGCAGTCTTAATAACTAGAGTATGGTTCAGGATTTATCTAGATTTAGACCACAATTATAAACTAGCAAGATTTAGGCTAACCCTAATGGATTTTCTTAGGCTGGCACAGTGCTATTTATTAGAATCAGCCATCAACATTTAAAATGTGCAGATTTTTTTTTTACACTAAAATAAAGATTTTGAGCTTTGTTTGAAACATTGGGTCAACATTTTTACCTAATATAACTGATAGGAAGTAATAAATGTCTCCTTTAACAAGGGATGTCCCCTCCTATTCTTTTTTTTTTTTTTTTTAATGTTTTATTTATTTCTGAGAGAGAGAGACAGAGACAGCGTGAGCAGGGAAGGGCCAGAGAGAAAGGGAGATACAGAATCTGAAACAGGCTATAGGCTCTGAGCTGGCAGTCAGCACACAGCCCGACGCGGGGCTCGAACCCACGAACCGCGAGATCATGACCTGAGCTGAAGTCGGACACTTAACCGACTGAGCCACCCAGGTGCCCCGTCCCCTCCTATTCTTTGAGCACCACTATATTTCCAAAAGTGAAGCCAAGAGTCAGCTGCCATCATCATGCTTATGTGGTTGTTCTTAAGACATTTCATTTTCGCCTTTGGCATGTATGTCTCCAGTAAAAAGCTATGTGTTCATTCCATGAATTTGGAAAGACAACAGATTAATAAATGTGGTTTTAAGTGTAACTACCTAATAAAATAAACTGATGCCCGATGACAATATGACACATCAAAAAGTATTACCAATTATAATTACAGATTGATGGCCTTTATCAACTAAAAGTGCAATTTAATGTCCTTTATGTTTAAGCAAACACATATACTTGTATTCAGGCCTGTGGTCCTGATGAAAAATAAAAACAAAAGGATTTCTGTAGCTAAAGGATTACCAAAAGCGGGTAGGATATCAAGGCTGGTAAGCTGAAAGGAAATGAAACCACAGGGAATTAAAATGCAAGGATATACTAATAACATGTTCAAGGTGAGAACTGAACACAAATCTACAAAAGGTTGTCATGTATATAGCTTGAAAATGACAATATTTTAATTAATGTGGGAAAATACAGACCAAAATTTAACTGTTCTAATCAACCAATTCCAAGTTTTTCTGTAGTATGCCCCTACACAACTGAGCACACAACTTAAAAATGTAAATATTACCTCTCCCATGTTCACTTCCAGGGAAGAAATTAAATAAATTCACAAATTTTTAAGGCGCTCTAAACTCAGTCATGTATTTGTGGTATCAATTTTTAACAACTTTTTAAACCTACGCTACTATAATCAACTCAAGGATCTATCATTCTGAAATGATAGTTAATTATCCATATATCACATATTTATAACCTGGGCCCTGAGGAATACCTTCACCATCAAGCCAGAAATGGGGGAAGAAAGCAGTTCCCATAACTCAATATTTTTCATTTTATCTGTTTTATATGCAGAGCTCTGCGTTCAGGTATTCTGAAGCTTTGAAAATCTCTCAACTCCTCTCAACGGTTTATCAAAATTTAAAGTGACCAAGTAGGGGCGCCTGGGTGGCTTAGTCGGTTAAGCGTCCGACTTTCGCTTAGGTCATAATCTCGCGGTTCATGGGTTCGAGCCCTGCGTCGGGCTCTGTGCTGACTGCCAGCTCAGAGCCTGGAGCCTGTTTCAGTCTATGACTCCCTCTCTCTCTGACCCTTCCCTGCTCACGCTGTCTCTCTCTCTCCTAGAAATAAATAAAATATTTAAAAAAAAAAAAAAAATTTAAAGTGACCAAGTGATGAAATCATAATGTTGGCAAATTTGGGAATTCCAGCCTGTCTTACAGTTTAAACTCCAGCTTCTCCTGGAATGTCTTGATTTTTAAAAGCAAGAAAGTGAACTTTAGAAGACCATGATAACTACATTCTGTAACAGGAACAAAAAGGTGCTGAACTGACAGAATTTTCTAATAACCTATGTAAATAGTTAAAGAAGCCAACCTCCAATCAAAAAGCTTATTTGTGGTGTCCTAAAAGGCAAGAGGTATACCTAAGATACATCTACATGTGCTCTCAATTACCCGGGCATTTGCCCTAAACAATATTGTTAAGTAACAATGTTTAAATTTCAACCTTCAAGTTTTCATGAACATAGTACACAGCATTTAATTCCTAGCGCTCCATACTGAAACATGAAATATGCATTTATTGATGAAGTTTCCATAGGAATTGCAACTCCTTTTAGTATCATGCAATAGCTCACTAGGAAGAGTGGCAGCAGCAATGCTCTGAATGTGGAGACAATAAAAATCTGGACGTTATAACAATTTGTAAAGAGAAAGAACATGTCTGCTTAGACATCATTTAGATATTCAAGGCTCTGAGACAACTGATGGACATAAAAAGTCAGAAAGTAGCTACAGAAAAAAGAGGAGCCTACCAGAGGTTAGTGAACAAATACACAGCGTCATCCCTCACGGCTGACTCCGTCTTACCTGAGGAGGAGTAGGTGTGGAAGTGGGTCTACCTATGGGTGGAGTGGGATTTCTGCTGCCACCTCCAGACATAATCTCCTCCGTTATGTCTTTCCCTCCCTGGTTTGGATCCCGAATTCTTATCTGTAAGGTCAGAATAAGATGGTATATTTAGAGATGGGTATCTATGTAGTATACTTACAGGTATACGATGTATTAAAGGTATAACCTGGGCAACCTACCAAATATGAAAGTTGATAATCACTACATCTGACTTTATGTCAGTCACAGAACCATATGGGGTCATTCAAAGAAATTTAGGACATTAGTTCCGACGTGAACAAATTAGAATAACAAGCTAAAAAGAGATCTAGTACGCAGAATTTCTAGGTCAAAAAGGCAAAGTATTAATGCCGGTCTTATAAGCACTGACAAATTGACTGATTTTATGTGCAAAAATTAATATAAGATTCATAAATAAAATTGTTTTAAAATATATGTTACTCTGTAGAAGGAAGTTTTAAGGGTCTTAAATGGTTAACAAAATGAAAAATGTACATATCCTAGTAATTAGGAATAGGAATTTATGTTGCAGATAACTTTACATATGCATGTAAGAATGCTAACTGTAACAGTGGCTCTTCCAGTAAAGGCACAGAAACAATCTCAAGGCTGATCAAGAAGACAGTAATTAAAAAATTATGCTACATTCCAAACATATCCAAATATGCTACATTCCAATTTATTCCATAAATACCAAACAGACGGTAGACACAATGAAAGAGATCTACATGTACTGATATAGAATGATCATCAAGAGGTATTGGTAGGTGAAAAGATGCAAGATGCAGAACAATGTGTGTGGTGTTCTCTTAACTTTTTTAATGGCTTACAGATATCAGTGGGGACGGTGCTATAAAGGAGAGAGAGCACCAGGATACAGGCCTTCCATCCTTGATGGTGCTGAGACATAAAAGCCCTGTCTGCTGTCATTACCTCCAGAGAGCAGCCAAGGTAGACCTGGCTTCTTGGAAATATCAAGGAAATAAAACCACCCAGATCTGGAAGCTGTCTGAGGAGTTCTTCAGTAAGATTCCTAACATCAACTATGTTTTCAGAAGAAACTGGTTTCTACTACAGTTTTAAATATTGGTTCTAATTCAATTGTTCTATTTTCTTCTGCAGTAGCATCTATTATATCTTCCATTTTCATTCTCTTCTTTAATAATGTTTGTGTAATCCTGAGTGTTCTTCAAGTCCAACATCTACCATGCTGTTTCAGCATTTCCAAAGCATACTTTCTCAACTGTAGTGTCTGGAAACACTGGAATGTCCTGTTTATTATGATGTGTGCACGAGATATTTGTGTCTGATAATAAAAGAACCAAGTTTTGAGTCTTATTAAATTTTACTAAATGAGAGCACTGTTAAGAGTATTGACTATGTGGGGAAAAAAAAAAGAGTATTGACTGTGATGATATCCTTCCCACCTATCTTATCTTTGTGAATTCCATTTTGCGTGTCCTAATAGGTAAAAGTTGTAAGCCACTCTTCTACAGGATGTCCTACAACATGAATTATATATTACTGCACTCTAATTTTCTTGAGTCTGCCTTACTAGACAGAGGCAAAGCCCCTTAACTTCTTTAAAACAAGAAGTTTTAGACTACATTTTCTAAATTCTGCTCTTACTAAAAAGAAATCTATTCCAATAGGGAGGATTTTTCTTGTTGTCCTTAATATTTTGCTCATGTTCTCGTGCTGATTTCTCCCAGTCAGTTCATATTTGAATGTAGAACGGAAGAGGACTAAGTTAAAGGACAATCATCAGTATGTGAAAACTGAGCTCAAACTTCTTCCACTTACTAAGATCTTAGCAGACAAACCCTCCCAGATCTGAAGAAGGCATGGTGTCATCTAGCACATCTAGCTGAGTGCACGCTGAAAAATAATATTAAGCAAATGCTACTTGCAACTTCTAGTATAAGTCCATATAAATCCTTTGGTCTAGTGGTTAAGGACGTAAGGGAAGAACAAAAAATGCAGTCATTTGTGAACTGCGATGAATACTGACTATGGCTGTGGGTAAACTTACCTGACAAGCAAGTGTGCATTCAATTATAAAACAGGAAAAATTAAGAAATATCTCTTACTGTTTTTTTCTCTCTCTTGGCTGGAGGGGGCTGCTGCTGCGTAGGCACTATGATTGGTGCTGACTGATACACTGGCTGACTTGGGTAAAAAGGCGTTCCTAAAGAATTAGAAAAAAATGAGAAGAAGCATTCAGTTATTTTGTTAACCACTATAAGACTACTAATGGCACCATGTCTCCACACAACCAGTTAAAAAAAAAAAAAGTAACAAAAACATTCCTCTTAATCATCTCTATCCACTAATTCCCCACTGTCTACTAAAGTGATCATGGAATGATTCCAAGCACTCATAAACAGTGATCTTTTTGTTACTATCCAACATGAAAACAATTAAATAACCAACTCCTGCAGATGGCCATCAGAGTTACCTTTCAAAAAACTAATTAAACTATAGCACTGCTTTTAAAAATCTATTCTGTGGACCCACCCATTCCCTGCAATGAGATTTTTAAACAAGGGTTTGTGTGAATATGTTTGTGTGTGAATTTAGTTAGAGGCATGAGAATATATCTGATCATCTTATAGATTGGGAATGGTTTAATTCTTCTCCCAACCCACAGAGAACCACCGTTAGGCTTTTTTCTGCTACAAGAGTGAAACATTTCCTAAGCCTTAATGGTGGGTCCCTGTGACACTAGTTCTACGTCAACTGGCACTGAGAGGTCAACTAAGATTCAGTAAATTATAATTCACTGATGACCATGACAAAAGTTACATGGGTAATGGTAAGGGGAATGCTTCCTGATTAGGGTGAGTTCAGTAGTGAATCAGATGGAAATTAAGACAGTAGAGCATAGATAACTCCTTTTCTTAAAATTTTTGCTATAAAGAAAAGCAAAAAGAGGTTTTGTTTTTATTTTTAGGACATGAATTAAATAATATGCCTATATGTTGAAAGGACTAATCCAGCAGAAAGAGAGAAAGAAAATAATTATGCCAGAAGAGGAGAAAACAACAACTAGAGAAATAACTTTAAATGTGTAAGTGATGGGATCCAGTGCTCAAGTAGAAGACCGGACTTTGGTAGTAGCACTGATATTGAGTTACGATAACAAGAAGGGAAAAAAATGAAGGTATAAAGGTAGTTAGTTAACACAGGTAAACTTTTTGGTACTTTAATAAACAAAAAACGTTATCTCTATTATCGCTGTCAACATCAACGTCAAACCATCCCCACCATCATCACAGTAATCTTCAAGTGGCAATTTCTTGGAAGCAATATGATTTGTAGTACCAGAACTGTGCAGATCTCAATCAAACAGGGAGAAGATCTAAACAGGGGGCATGGCTAGGATTTTAATAAATTCAATGTGAAAAGGGAAAAACACCATAACCATCTTTCTGGTAGTGTAAAATCTGAGTTCTCAAAATCAACCTTATTTCTTTTTATGTTTGTTTATTTTTGAGAGAGAGACAGAGAGAGAGACGAAAAGAAAGAAGGGACAAAAGACCCGAAGCAGGCTCTGTGCTGACAACAGAACGCCTGATGCCAGGCTCAAACTCACATGCCACGAGATTATGACCCGAGCTGAAGGTGGATGCTTAACTGACTGAGACACCTGGGTGCCCCTCAAATATCAAGCTTATATAAGCAATTCTTTACTACTGTAAAATGTCACTAATCTAAAACAGAGAAAACAATCCCCTAAAATTGGTTTCAAATGCTGCTAGACAAGCAATACGATATGCTCACTTTGCCATATTTTTTAAACTAAGTGAAATAAGATCCAAAAAGTGAATCATCCCTTTAAGACAAATGTTAAATTGTTCTAATGGAATGGGTTTGAGTCAACATGACTGGCATATAATACACATATAATAAATACCAGCTGAATAAACCTGGTAGCACAGGATATCTCATTATGGGGTTAAACACAATTAGTAGAATATCAAGTCAACTGTGGACCCCAGTAGAGCAGGCCTTCTACCCTACCAAACAATGGTTATCTTTTATAAAATACTAATCCAACATCTTATATAGTCAGAGGCATTTAAAAACATTTATTTCAGGGCACCTGGGTGGCTCAGTTTGTTGAGTGTCTGACTTCAACTCAGGTCATGATCTCATACTTTGTAAGTTCAAGCCCTGCATTGAGCTCTGTGCTGATAGCTAAGAGCCTGAAAGCCTGAAGCCTGCTTCAGATTATGTGTCTCCCTCTCTCTCACCCCTTCCCTTACTGTGAGTGCTGTCTCAAAAGTCAATAAATAAACATTAAAAAAAAAACACACACAGTTATTTTAAGGGGCACCTAGGTGGCTCAGTTAAGTGTCAGACTCATGATTTCAGCTCAGGTCACGATCTGACGATTGGTGAGTGTGAGCCCTGAATTGGGCTCTGTGCTCATAGCGAAGAGCCTGCTTGGGATTCTCAGTCTCCTTTTCTCTTTCTCTCTCTCAAAAATAAATATTCTTTAAAAAAATAAAAAATGTGAGTACTTTTACATACCATTTATCAACTCGGCCTGTTACTCAATGTCCCTGAATGTTTCATGCATGGAATGTAGCATGTCTATCTACATCAGGGGTATGGCAATAACACCAAGAAGCTAAATCCAGTGCAATGCCATTTATTTTGTAAATAAACTTTTTTTGGAAGTCACTCACAAACAGTATTTTATCTATTATCTATGGCTGCTTTCTAACTAAAATGACAAGAGCTGGGGCACCTGGATGGCTCAGCCATTCAGCATCAGATTCTTGACCTCAGCTCAGGTCCTGATCTCATGGTTATTGAGTTTGAGCCCCAAATCTGACTCCTCGCTGATGGCGTGGAGCATGCTTGGGATTCTGTCTCTCTCTCTCTCTCTCTGCCTCTCCCCTGTTCTCTCTTAAAATAAATAAACCTTATCTATCAATCAATCAATGAATAAATAAATAAAATGGCAAGAGTTCAGTAGTTTTAACAGAGACTAAATGGCCTGCAAAACCTACAATATTGCCCTTTATAGAAAAAGGGCTGATATTTTTTCCTGATCCCTGTTCTCGACCAGTGGTTCTCCAAAACCTAGTCTATACAAAGTGTATCAATGATATATGGCAAAAGTTACACAAATAATCACATTATGATAATAACACACACAGTGACACAGTTATAGGCTTGCCAATTTGACATTTTGGAAAGGGCTGTTACTACTTTGAAATTATTTCAGTCTTCTTTGTTTTTAAAACAGCCTTCCTATTATATGAACTGATACTGACATTAAAGAGCAGTTTTCTTTGCAACTCTTACTGGGAAAAGTAAAAATCTAATAGTCACTTAAGTTTCTTCCTCTATTTTACTTTACTTTTTTAAAATTTTATTTGACCAAGACATTGAAAAACCTGGAAACCACTAGTCTGTCTAGTCAGCATTTACATTTCTTCCCATTGGTAAAACCCTAAGCACAAATATCAAATAAGTGCACTGTACAATCCTCAAAGGCAGAAGAGTATCTCAACATCTACATTCTAAAAAATACTTAGCATGTTACCGTTCTTAAAAATTTTTTAAGTTTATTTATTTGAGAGGGAGAGAAAGAGGACAAACAAGGGGGTGACAGAGAGAATCTGAAACCGGATCCACACCACCAGTGCAGAGCCCAATATGGGACTCAAACTCACAAACTGCAAGATCATGACCTAAGCCGAAATCATGAGTCAGAGGCTTAACTGAGTCACCCAGGTGGCCCATCTTTTTTTTTTTTTTTTTAAGTTTATTTATTTTGAGAGAGACTGTGTATGTATGGGAGTGGCAGAGAGAGAGAGAGAGAGAGAGAGAGAGAGAGAGAATCCTAAGGAGGTCTGCACTATCAGTGTGGAGCCCAATGCTTGGGGTTCCAACTCATGAGAACCCCATGAGTTGGAACCCCTTTAGATTATGAGAAGCTGAAATCAAGAGTCGGAGCCATTATCCAGCCACTCCCTTAGCCCAGGTGCCCCCACCTAGTACACTGTCTTATATATACATTGCACATCTTCCAAAAACCTTTCAAAACTTTGAATTTTCCAAAGGAACAAAGATAAACATAGTGGCTAAATATGCAGGTTGGCAAATAAAAATCAATTTATCCTGTAATATCTCAGAATAATAATGTCGTTATACAACCACATCAACAATCAACACTCCACAAACACAATAAAATTCAACCTAAGATGCCAGAAAGTTTCCCAGCTCTACACACCATGGAGAACAATGAATGAATTCCTTAGCTTTTAGGAACTAAATATCATATCCAATCACCACAGAGCTCAGGAAAAGAGTAGAATGAAAACGAAAGGGGGAGGGGAGAAATCATATGGTACAGTAAGAAAAAAGGAAAGTATGCTGGTTTGAAGCACAGGAGAATGGGACCTTTTACCAGGTAAATTCTCAATCTTTTTCTTTTCTTTTCTTTTTCAGTATCACTGTCACTGCTAACCACACCTCTTTGTTCCCAAACCAAATTTTTTACATCTTGGGCCATCACCCACAGTGTTGGCCTGGAAATAATTTTAGTCTTCCTGAGGTATTTTCCTGATATACCAGGCATTGAAATATTTGAAAAAAACTGAAAAATGACATTGAGCAAATACTACTCAGTTATTTTTTCATAACACTGTAAAAACACTGCAAGAATTAGAATTTAATGATCTTGATTATTTAACTTCAGGGAAGGTAAAAATAATCTTTGAGAATCACTGTTCAAGATTTAAACGGAACAGAGGAGTGAAACATTAGTGTACTAGAATAAACTAAAAGCTAAGGACTAAGAACTAAGAATTCTGCAAAACAGACTGACTCACCAGTGTAGCCAGAGGAAGGGCTTCTGTCCTAGAAGACAGGACTGCTGTGCTTCAGTACAGAGAACTAGGCTCCGATCCCTATACTTGCTGTTTTTAAGTTTATTTATTTATTAATTTAGAGTGACAGAGAAGAGCATGGGTGGGATAGAGAGGGAGTGAGAGAGAGAGAATCCCAAGCAGGTTCTGCACTGCCAGCCTGGAGCCCAATGCAGGGCTCAAACTTAGGAATCGTGAGATCATTATCTGAGCTGAAATCAAGAGTTAGACACTTAACTGACAGATTCACCCAGGTGTCCCAATTCTTTTTGAAAATTTTTGAAATTTTTGAAAATTTTTGAAAATTGTGTTAGTCACATAAGCCCATGTGGATAATTCTGCATAATTTAAATTCACTGGATTTAGATTTGTTAGGTTTTTTTTTTTTTTTAAGGTTTATTTTGAGAGAGCAAGAGTGGGGGAGGGGCAGAGAGAGGAGAGAGAGAATCCCAAGCGGGCTCTGTTCTGACACAGGGCTCAATCCCACAAACCCAGAAATCATGACCTGAGCTAAAAGCAAAAGTCAGACACTTAACTGAGCCACCCAGGCACCCTTCTATACTCCCTTTTAACCTGAACCCAAGGACAGAACAGAGGAGGAAAAAGAATAAAGGGAGGACATCAGGATCAGAGGATCCAAGAGAAGATTCCAAGTAAAGAAAATAGGAAGGGGGGTGTTTATGGCTTCTAGACGATCAGGTCAAACAGCTGCCCCAAGGTGGTAGACCTGAAGAACCTAGAATTGATGGGAACTGCTGGATCAGGACTTTTAAGTCTGATCGAAAAGCATATTAACTAGTGAGTCTTTACAACTAAAATATCTGCCAAAATAATGAAGATAATCTAAACCTCCTATCAATAGAGGACTGGATTATAAATTTTGATTCATTCCTAAACTGGAAAACTATGTAGCTTGAAATTCTATAGATAATAAAATGGAAAGATGTCCATGAATATATTGTGAGATGTGTGTGTGTGGCGGGGGAGACTAGAAGTTTTAGAACATTATAAATTTTATGTGTCCATTTGTATTAAAAATCATTTAAATGGAAAAAGTATATATTGGTCTATTAAATCATTATTTTTTAAGGGAGAGAAGTAGGGAGAAAAATTGGCTATTTTAACTTTATACATTTTATATTTCTATCTTTCATCACTAATTTGGTTACTTTCATAATGAAAAATTATTTTCAGATTTTTTTTTCATCTTAAGGAAACTAGGGAAACAGTGCTTTTGATCTAGATGACAAATTGCCTACTTGATAGATATTGAATCTGCCTAAGAATTTCCCCAGGAAGAAAAAATATCTAACAAAGGGAGCAGACATCAACAATATCTGAGATACAACTGCCCCTTAATATCCTGCTTTTTGTGCAAATAAACAAATATGGTTTGTATGTAATAGAAATAAATAAAGCCAAATATGTTACAATATTGTATATACAAATCAGCGAAATACTTCCCTATTTATAAACTCATCTATATTGTTTCTATACATACTGTAGTGGCATTAAGAACAATAAAGAAGGCCGGCACAGGTTTATAATAGAATTTTAATAACCTTTTCTGAGTCAAAAGGCCATTTATATAATTTGTAAATAAACAGATTAGAATTCATTTAATTATTTCTTTTTTAGAGAGAGACAGAGAGGGAGAGCATGGCAGAGGGGCAAGGGGGAGAGGGAGGACAGGAGGGTGGGGGAGGGAGGGACAGACAGAATCCCAAGCAGGCTCAATGCTCAGTGCAGCGCCCAACATGGAGTGCGATTCCACCATCCTTGGATCATGACCTGAGCTGAAATCAACAGCTGGACGCTCAATCAACTGAGTCACCCAGGCACCTCTAGGGTAGAATTTAGTGAGACATCTTCCAAAATGATTTTATAAATTAGAAGATAAAATTGCACTCCCTTTGCAACATGGGATTAAAAGAAAATTCTGTGGATTTTAGCATGTTTACTCTGACAGACCATGTCACCTTACAGTTTTCTATTCAATAAATTCTAGATAATATCAACAGCCAATTTTACTTTTTTTTTTTTTTTTTTTAATGTTTATTTTTGAGACAGAGAGAGACAGAGCTTGAGGCGGGGAGGGGCATAGAGAGAGGGAGACACAGAATCTGAAACAGGCTCCAGGCTCTGAGCTGTCAGCACAGAACCCGATGCGGGGCTCAAACCCACGAACCGTGAGATCATGACCTGAGCCGAAGTCCGACGCTTAACCGACTGAACCACCTAGGTACCCCCAATTTTACACTTAAAAATAATTTTATTTAGGACACCTTGGTGGATCAGTTGGTTAGGCATCTGGCTCTTGATTCTAGCTCAGGTCATGATCTCACAGTTCACGGGATCAAGCCCTGAATCTGGCTCTGCACCGATGGTACAGAGCCTGTTTAAGAATCTCTCTACCCCAGGGGCGCCTGGGTGGCTTAGTCGGTTAAGCGTCCGACTTTCACTTAGGTCATGATCTTGCGGTTCGTGGGTTCGAGCCCCGCATCGGGCTCTGTGCTGACTGCCAGCTAAGAGCCTGGAGCCTATTTCAGAGTCTGTGTCTCACTCTCTCTCTGACCCTCCCCTGCTCACGCTGTCTCTCTCTCTCCTAGAAATAAATAAAAATATTTAAAAAAAAAAAAAAAAAAAAAAAGAATCTCTCTATCCCACTCTCTCTGCCCCCCCATACATAAAAATGAAAAAAAAGTAATTATTATTTATTTTTATGTTTATAAAAAAATTTTAATGTTCTATTTATGTTTGAGACAGAGACAGAGCTAGAGCAGGGGAGGGGCAGAGAGAGAGGAAGACACAGAATCCAAAGCAGGCTCCAGGCTCTGAGCTGTCAGCACAGAGCCCCACATGGGACTTGAACTCTTGAACCGTGAGATCATGATCTGAGCTGAACTCAAGACATTTAATTAAGTCACCCAGGCGCCTCTAAATAATCTTAACTGGATTTAAATTTATAGAATAAGTGCCAATACCAAGGCACTGAGGTGGTCTGAAAACTGCAAGTTCAAACGAAATTGAAGGGGCAAACAAGGAACGCTTCAATAGTCAGTCCTGGCAACATTCTATGTCAGAGCTGGTGATGCACAAGTATTATTTTACTTTAAAAAACATATATGGGAGTGCCTGGCTGGCTCCATAGGTAGAATATAGAATTCTTAATCTCAGGGTCATAAACTCAAGCCCCACAATGGGCATGGAGCCTAATTAAAACAAAAACAACACATGTATGCAGTACATGTTGTTTGGAAAATATCAATATTTCTTAGTAAAAATACAATTTCAATAAAGCTGTGTTTTATATATACATACTTGAGACATTTAATGCAATTATAAAATGTATCATTTTGAAAGGGCAGTTCACAAGCAGCAGTAACCCAGGTAACAGAAAGGTTTTCTCTTTTCTAAAAGAAGTAAACCCAGGTTAACACTTGGTTCCTTTGTCTATTTCACCTCAAAACCTAAAGGAAACTTTTTTTGGGCTATTCTAATACCAGTTAATTCTGTTGTAAAGGTTTTTAACTGAGACACTAAATCCCAATGTTAGGAAACTGGTTACTAGACACATGTTTATAATAGATTACTCTCAAAAGAACAAGCTAAAATTTTAATATGTCCTTTCTGATAGCAGAAAAGATCAGTGCTTATTGAAACCTAAAGCTTAATTTTTCTAGTATTTGCTGATTTTACCCCTTAGAATTCAATTTCTATATAATAAAGCAAATTTGGCAAGTGGTAGAAGTTTATTGAATAATATGTCATTTTCATTACTCTTTACCTTAGTACTGGCTTACAAAGTACAAACATGGCACTTATTTCGTACATTAAAAACATTTGTGATTTTTCAAGGCATTTTCACTTCGCTAATCCTCAAAATCTTCCTATGACACAGATCATATCACAATTTTGCAGAAATGGAATCATGGGGATACTAATTCTACTCAGTCATCCCACTCCCAACTGCTTACTAGTCATTGCTCTAGGTGCTAGGGATATAGAAGTGAACGAAAGAATAAAATTTCCTGCCTTTGTGGATAGTACATTCTAGTAGAAAAACCTTAACAAAGGCTTTGGTAAATGGTAATAAATGATTGGAGATAAAGAAATCATAGGAAAGACATAAGGTATAGTTGCCCCTTGAACAATGCACAAGTAAGGGGTACCCTTTGACCCCTTGCACACAGGCCAATGTCCATGTGTAAGTTTGGAATTTCCAAAATTTTATCTAATAGCCTGTGCTGATTAGAAGCCTTATCAATAAAGTTAACAGCTGATTAACACATATTTTGTACATACAGTCTTAACAAAAAAGCTCAAAAAAAAAAGTTATTAAGAAAATCATAGGGAAGAAAAATACACTTACAACACTATACTGTATTTACTGAAAAGAAAATCCATGTATAAGTGAATCCATGCAGTCCAAATCTGTGTCGTTCAAGGGTCAACTGTATATTTATTCTATCAGCAAAAATCTAGTAACAATCCAGGTAATGATGATTTGGTTGAAGATATCAGAACCTTGAGACATGAGTTCTTTGCAACAGAATTACTAGCCCTTTCAGAAGATGTCATTAAGTAAATATATTTCTGAAATACTATTTTCTTGTAAGCCACTCTCTAAAAAGCTTTCAGGTCAGAACTGTTTGCAACATTTTATTTCAAAATTCTTTACAACACTAAACCTCAATGCCTAAACTGATTAGCAGAACAACAAAATGAAGTAAACACAAAAAACTAGCAGAAATTGCTCAATATTTCATACATACTTACTTACCATAAGCATTGGGGAAGTCCCCAGGTCCTGGTCCAGGGTAAAAAGGCCCTGGCCCTGGTGGTTGAACTGGATATTGTTGTGGGGGCCCAACATAAGGAGGGCCACTATGACGGTACTAGAAAAGAGAAATTAAAGACATTTATAAATAACATGAAGGTAGCTTACTATAAAAAAATTTTCATATATGTGTGTGTATATATAAGAGAATTACTTAAATAAGGTGAAAACACTTGGTTAAATACATTTAAAAAAATGCTTGCTTGCCATCAAGATGCAGTGAGGATGAAGAAGTAAATGCATTAGGTAAAACCATACAACAAATCAGTACACAGACAGACATCAGCTCACTGTAAAATTATTTCAGGATGGTAGCTTTCAATGGAATTGAATGATATCATAGGAACAGTGTAATTACTGAGTCTATTTTAGAGAAGCTGGATATGAGGAAGGGACGGGGGGGAAAGCCAGGAGATAAAAATAATTTCTCTAACATCTTAGAAAAACTTAAGAAAAGAAACATAGAAATATCTTGTTACAATACTATGGAAAATGACAAAATGGCTAGACTTATAACCAACAAGAAAGTTCACATATTACTAAAAACCATTGCTATCACCCCTCTACCCGCTTCTTCTGATGAGAATTTGAGTTAATCCTCACTCTAGCGCTGGACCACACAGACCGGGGAGATACTTTACCTGTGGGATACAGTACTGAGGACCCTGGGGCACTGGGTACGGCATGGGCAGATGGTTAACCATCATGATGTGCTGATTGGCCTGATACACTGCAGTGGGTGTCTGTGCACCAGGACGAATGGAAGGACTGCTGTTCGGGATGGTAGCTCTAGGAGGCTGTATCTGAGGCCTCTGAAAAAACTGAGGAGGGGAGAAAAAAATATTCATATATATTTTTTACAAAGAGAAACATGTAAATTTTACTATCTTGAGCTTTCTCCTTTTTTCCACTAATAAAAAGGTTATCAACTTGAATTGGAAATACGATATACATGAAAAGAGACAAACTGCCTATGGCTGGGATCACAAAACATATCCAACACTAGGCACACCAAGTCAAGTTTTGATCAGTGCTGTCACACGTGTGAAAATAGGGCGGTCTCACTTTTAAAATGAAATCTCAGCTAATTTAAACTAAAAATTCTATACCATAATTATTAATTTTTTAACTCTGTGATAAAACATAAGAAAAGCTTCTGTCTCTCTAAAACTTGTTCTACTATATACAAGTACTGATTATTTCATTAAGAGTAGGTGGCTCATAATCAACTTACTAAAAATTAAAAGCAGTCCCCTAAAAACTACCATTCAAGTAATTTATAAAATATTTGGAAGAACAAGAAATCAACCTGGATATAAATATTTTCATCTCAGTCAAGTTAAATTAAAACTACCTATAGGGTAGTCATGTGCTGATTGTCACATGATGGGAATGGCCTTCCTTCCTAAAAAGTGGCAACCCATATTAAACTGAACCCAGTTTTACTTTATTGAATAGTTTTTGCAATGAAAGTAGAAAATCTAGACAGACTTAAGAATGGTCTGGAAGGAACAGAACTCAAATTTATCAAATGGCAGCCAGTAGCTGTGGTTATTTATGGTTCTCACTGCAGGCTTAAAAGCCTTGAAAACAATATACCAATTGTAAATTCCCACCATGAATTCATGTGTATTCATCAGCAATCAACTGTAATTGTCTCATTGTAATAATAATAAGGGAATAGAGTAATAAAGAGGCCATGCAGAACCAGTAGTTGTTACCTGGATGGGTCTGAATCCTCCCTTCAATTATGAAGCAAGAAAGCAGCAGGAAACAGAAAGAAAGCCAATGGAAAAGCTTATAGATCAGTAGGAAGGGGTAGGACATAGCATGCAGCTCAACAAAAATATCTTGGTATTTAGTAATAACAGGAGAAGAAGGAAGATTAGAAAATCAGAATGACAATTCTCTACTTGAGAATTCAAGGACGCAGGAATTGAAGATTCAAATCACATTTAATTGAAAATAAATCCAGTGGCAAAAGTATTCTAATAGTAGCCACAAGTTATAACAGTTTGAGAGGATGTCTGCTTAGTAGCACAAGTACAGTTGGCACTACTGATTCCTACTGTTGGCTCTACAAACACACATTATGTAATTTGGCATTAGTTATTTAGCTTCTTAATGATCCACTTTCCATTTTTAATGGAGAACAGAGGTAATAATAAAGAGCCATTCATTATTTTAAATTCTACAGGGGCGACTGGGTGGCTCAGTTGGTTAAGTAAGCATCCTACTCTTATTGATTTTATGGTTGGTGAGACCGAGCCCCGCATTGGTCTATGTGCTGACAGCAAGGAGCCTACTTGGGATTCTCTCTCTTTCCCTCTCTCTCTGCCCCTTCCCTACTTGCTCACTCTCTCTCAAAATAAATAAGCTAATTAAAAAAAAAAAGTTTACAAAAGTCCTAAGAAATAATTAGGCTCTTCAAAATTTATCAGACCCTTCAGGCCAGAAACCTGCTTTTCTCAACTAACACAGCATATAAGAGGCCACTTAAAGCTTTAAAATGGGGAAATCTGAAGCTATTCTTAAAATGTGGTCTAGCTCCAAAATCTCCTGATTTGTCTCACAATTCCAGATAGGAGTATTTCTATTGGCCCAAATAAAGGCAAGGTGAGCTTTGACCTTTGGGCCCACTCAAGTCATATCCTATCTTACTCTTAAGCATCAGGCTACCCAAATGTGATAGAAGAAATAACTTTTCATCTTGTGCTCAACTGGAAGAATTAGAATCCAGCACCCAAGGCTCATCCCCATTTGGCCTTTATAACCCAGGACAAAGAAAGCCCTAAAGAGATTAAGTCACAGAAAAGCAACAGACAGTACAGCAGGAGAATGGAGTCAATGGGGGAGGCCACAGAGAGTAGCTGATGGAGATGAGAAGAAAGTACAAGAAGCAAACTAGTTGGTAATAGAGGAAACTGGGCTGGGCCACACCAATAGCAAGCCTTCTAGTTATCTCCACCGACACAGTTTTGGTAACAGACACAAGAATTTCTGTTGACTTCAACCAAGAGCCCTGAACTAGTAAACTTTCCACCAAAGACTTCACTTCACTTCTCTTAATTACACAGCAGGTAGAATCTATTACTCATCAATGTATGTGAGCTATAAACACATTTTAGAAGTGAACTTAAGCATTTTTATAACTTAGATAATCTTATCAGGGGCCACAGAACTATTATAGGTCTCAAGGAGAGAATAGTCATTCATTTACTCAACTGATTGAGCATTACTAGATATTGTATGTAATAGAAATCTTACTCCTGTAAGATCCTTTTCCACCAACTCTAGAGGGCAGCCAAGACAAGGACAGTATCAAACAGAACAGGTAATTATCTACTGTGGCTATATTATCATCAAATGTTGTCCAAGTCTTTACTGCCTGAAGAGACACAGTGCTATTAACTTGTGCAGAGCCAGAAAAGCAGATATGGTCAGTTTCCCCACAAATGCAACAGTTTACTGTATGTGAGTCCTTTCCTTGGCACTCTTTTCCAACTCCTCTGCTTGGGGTTTTAACCAGCCTATTTAGAATAACTGCAATTATAGTTTATTCAAGGAGAATTCTGAATAGCATGGAGACTATTTTCTTCAGTGGTTTTAAAAGAGAAACGAATAAGTGTTTCTGGTAATACTGCTAAGGTTACTGTACAGCTGAACTCAATAAAACACAAAATTTATGGTTATGTAGACATGCAATTTTTTATAAACTAAGATTTCAGCTTTGAATCAACGTAGAAAAATATATTCATATGTGCACACTAAGTAAGAGTGAAAATTTAAATAGCGCTTACTACCTACCAGGAACCTCTAAACTTTTTGCATATTAATTAAATTATTCTCACAACAAACCTCTAAGGCAGGTACTATTAACACTCCCATTAGATATATGGGAAAACTGAGGGACAGGGAGATTAAGTTCCTTACTAAAGGTCTCCCATCTGTAATCCCTCTGTTTAAACACAGGGTTAGTTCTCTAACTTTAACTGTTACACACTTCACTTCTCACGAAGTGGAACACCCCTCATATTTTCAAACAATTGTCAGTCTGAAGACACTTTTTCAAAAGCTGCAGCGATGTGTTGAGACCTTTATTCAAAACACTAAGGGATGCATATCCCTCGACCAGAACTGATTCCTGGCAAGAAAAATGTTCCATCAGTTCCTTCACAAAATTCATGCTTATTATTCAGGAAACCAAATTTCTTCTACTTATAAGACTCTAATTCTCTGTCTCCCTTAAAGTAATTGATACCTGTTCATATGCTTGTAACATGCTTGGTACAACATTTAACAGGCCTATTTTTACTCAATCTCACTGCACTAAGATTTTTATAAGGACAGGCAATCTGGAGCTTTTCTTCCCCCCCTTAAGAAGTTCCTCTGACCCTCCTTCCCTCCTTGCTCCCCACTCCCACAGCACGGGTGCGCACACACACACAAGATTCTAGCATCAAAAGAACTAGAAAAGGTGTAATGGCTGGAAAAGCAAAGATATAAAAAGAGATGAATATTCTCTTTTTTGCACCCTCTCCTAGCCATTCAACTGTAAATTTAGATTATGATTTAATAGTGGTACAGGAAATTAAAAATCTGTGGATGGGCATGGCAGTAAACCATAGATTATTAAAAAGAAGGTGTGAATGTGAATGGGCCTTTCCAAAGTGCTTGCAATGCTTCAGAATCCCTTTTCCTCTCCAATAAGTGATGAAGAATAATTAAAAGAATCAAACTCACCTGCATGTAAGGACAGTACAGGCCATTTAATCTAACCACATACGTACAGTTTAAATCTCTTACATGAAATGGCCTTGGGGTTATGAAACTTGAGCAACCCAAGACACAGTTCCATTTCATTGTCAAACGGAGTTCTGACACTGCAGAGGTCTTCCCTCCTACTGGCTCCAAATTTCTCTCTCTGTATCATCTACAGATGATTACTCGGTCCAATAACTCTTCCTAAAATCACATCAAAGCCAATGCCTTCTACTGTGGAAGTGACAAATTTCTAAAGTTATCTGAAGACAGCCATCACTGCCAACCTACTTTGACACCAATGTCTATTTTTTCTCAAAGCCAATCACCACCTTCCACACTCTATCCCTCGAACTAAGATTTTGAATTCCCTCTTCAGGTTTCTCTCAATAGGTTTCCATTGCTCAAAGTCTGACTCAATACAGAACCAAACACAACGATCCAGGTGGTGTCTGCCCAGAAAGTACCTGGCCTCACTCAATAAATGTATCTGTTGCTAAATTAAAGAGCAACATCTGTCTCTGATTCTGGCTGACTACATTTCCATTAATAACACCAAGAATAACAGGAGACCTTTTGTCAACCATATTTTACTACTGATTGGTACTGAGTTACATACAATCTTTTAAAAATCCTTAAGTCTTCTTTACATATAACCTAACAATAAGTCATGGTCTTCACTTTTGTATGTACACGTAAAGAGGTGTTCTTGTACGGGAACATACAAAGGAATCTTGTATGTTGTTCCTTTGAAAATTTTTCTGGCGAATTTAGGGGCGCCTAAGTGGCTCAGTAGGTTGAGCGTATGACTTCAGCTCAGGTCATGATCTCGCAGTTTGTGGGTTTGAGCCCCACGTCAGGCTCTGTGCTCCTGAGCCTGGTGCCTGCTTCGGATTCTTTGTCTCCCTCCCTCTCTGCTCCTACCTCACTTGTACTTTGTCTCTCTCCCCCCAAAATAAATAAACATTTAAAAAAATTTTTATTTAAAAAAGAATATTTATCTGGTGAATTTCAACCCAACATTTCAGACTGTAGAGATACTTTTAGATTCCAAATAGAC